ATTACTGACCTCTGTCATCATTTTAAGTGGGGGAACTTGCACAATCGGTGGCTGACTAAATACTTTTTTGCCCCACTGTATATATATATATATGATGCCCTACCCATGATCAGCCAAGAGGATGAGACAAGGAACATCCAAGGATACATTACGAAGATGGCCCCAACTGACAGCGTGCTCAGTGAATACCTCAGGCAGCAGAAACCCAAGAAAGAGGAGGGAGGCGTTCACTTTACTGTCAAATACACTTAATAACTTTAAACAGCTGCTGTTATCAAGTGAAAACGGCAAAGATGTCAGGGCTGGGCTGAGCCCCAGTGTTTCTACATCCTAGTAATACCTCAGACAGTCACAACTCATCAAAGCTTCTCGTTATCATTAGGACACATTTAGGTCAATATCATTTCACATTTCTGTGTCATCATCCATCAAATGTTGACACATAGTGGGTTTGTCATTCTCTCAGCTGACACTGAGATGAAGCTTGAAAGAAGCAGCTGATATTTGGACAGCACACATGATGGAAAGAGAGGGAGAGTGCAACCCGTGCTTATTTTATTGCCACTGATATTTTATTTTTATTTTATTATAAATGTTACTTTTTGTAGAGTGTTGAGTTTTCCCATGTTTCTGTCCTTAACTTGTTGAGCCCCAAAGTTCATGTAATCTGTGAAGAATTTCTTATTTAATTTTGTACAAATGGGATACAGAAACAATTTGTTAGTAGAAATTTGTGTTTTATTTTACAAGTGAAGTGATTGCTCTGCACATTTGTTTACAGGCTGTACTTTATGTGCCACTATGAAATCTTATGTAAAATTTTATTTGAAATGTGCAAGTTATCTGATGCCACTGGAGATGTTTGCAAAGGACGCTCTCAATCTGAAGGCCACCTGTAACACAAAGACTGTAGACATGCAGGAGCTGCACAAGCCAATAAGCAGTCAGCAGAACTCCCATCCTGATGCAGTGCACATTATAGCTGGGGACTTCAACCATGCTGACTTAAACATGCACTCATTCTTTTGCTTATACCTTTCTTGGACTTAAAAAAAATCCACTTTAACCTCTTAAGCCCCAAGCCTAACTGATCTCCTGCCTTTTGCCCCCGTATCAGGGGGCGTTGGGGCTTAAGGGGTTAAGTTACTGTGCTGTGTTTAGTTGTGCGTAGTGCCGACGTGGGACAGTTTCCAGTTTCGTTGTACTATTGAACTAGGTATGACTGTGCAATGACAATGAAGAGTTATCGCTTATCTCTAGAGTATAAATTCTTTTTCTTATAGATTTCAGTAACTGTGAAGTTTTCAGTTTCATTTTTGTGTTTTATGTTTGCTTTTTTGAACTCTGGTCATCTGACAAAATAAACACAGTGACACTTATGACACTCATTACTGATTCGGTATCATTTGAGGTGCGATAGTTTTCCCATCACAGTAAAAAATAATTTCTTATAAATAATCGAGATGTAAAGATGTAATCTGCTAAAGAAGTAGATAGAACATGTGATGAGACTCACTGTCTGAGTCACGTTCTCATGATTTACAGATCAAAGATGGAGAAGCCCTCACCAGTGCAGCTCCTGGAAATGTTGCAAAATTTGGGAGAAGAGGAGCTGAAGGTTTTCCACTTTTACCTGCAGTATGAACCTGGAGGTGACTTCACCAAAATCTATAAGTGCCAGCTGGAGAACGCAGACAGACTGAAAACAGTAGATGTGATGGTGCAGGCGTATTCAGACCGTGTGATGGAGGTAGCCCAGTCGATTTTAGGGAGAATGAATAAAGGTCAGTCAGAGGAAAAAGAACCATGAAACACTCTGTGTGATATGCAGACACCACATTGTCACAATTTATTGTATGAAATGTATTAAACTGAGACTTTCTAATTTTTTCTTTTCTTATCAATGTATGTTTGAGTACAAATATTATTATTACATTATTTTGAAACTATAAAGGTTTTCATTATAAAAGAGACCAACTGGTGATTCAAGCTGCACTTTCTTCCAACAGGAAGTCCCTCAGCTCAGGAGGCTTCATCGCGTTTGTCAGAAGGTACGAGTTCATTTGTTTGTCTCTAAAAACATCAAAAAGGCAGAAACAGACCTGAGCTGACCAATTAGAGCTCTGGTTGTTTCCATGTAGGAGCTCTGCTGTATGACTAAAGTCAGAGCTCCAATAAATGAAAGGTTGTTTGGTTTAATAATGTCTAACTTTACTTCGCTGCATGTAACAGCAAACAACATTAAAACAGAGGACAGAGGTTACAGAGCTTTAGATAAGATGTGAGGATGGTTCATTGCAGATGACAAGAAATCTAGAAAAACATCTAACATGTTTGGACTCAGAAATAGTCATACATGACATGCTTTAAGGCCTTATGATACATTTAGACCTTCACTCTTCATGGTTTACATTTTAAACCAGAGTTTTTAGAATCAGCCAAGGCCTCAGGCATTTTTTATATAATCATTTAAATCTATTTACAGAACAATCAGGTGTGCTGCATCAAATAAGAAGGCACAAAAATTATTTGTGCCAGTCCAAAAAATATAGTTTGTGTTCAGTATAAGACAGAGGAGAACAGCACAAGCCTAAACCCTGCAGGTCTGAAAGCAGGAGGTGCATCAGTCCAGTTTTCCATGTGGGAACAGTGTTTACACTGGAATCTGCCTTTGACGGCTTATTAGAGCAAATATGAAATTCAGCAGTATAACTGACACACAATACAAGACCATAACAACACAACACACTAACTACAGCCTCCAAACACGCTAAATTTCACTAATGTCTCACATATGAAAACTCGCTGTCTTTCTCTGTCTTTCGCTCGCCCGCTTTCCGTCGCGGGTGTCACTCCTAAAAACTTCCCCCTCTCCCTAAACAAGCAAATGTCACATGTTGTCTTATCATTTTTTTGATTGGCTGACATGGTAAACTCTAACACCAACAGGGAAGGGGTGTTTTTTCTTTTTCTTTTTTCACTCACAAGCGGAGAGTGTTTGCTAGTGCTGTCTGTAGAAAACGCCATTTTTACCGTTCTTCCCGCTGTAAACACCACTGTTTTGTTCAGAAAAAGCATCGCATGTATTTTTTTTATCATAACTCTGGTTTTACATGGCCCATCGACACAATTCAAAAACTGGTATATAGTTTGAAGTCCGCACTTTCGACCCAAGTTGAAATGGAGACTCTGACGTGCAGCATCTTGTAGCTGTGTTGTCTTAAATTGGTCATGTCATTTTGACGCATCGCTTGTCCGGCGACCCCAGAGGGTTAATTACAATTACGATTTTTAATTAAGTTCATCAAGTTAAAAGAGAAGCCAAAGTTGCAGAGCTTTAGGTAACGTTGGAGGATGAACTGAATTATTCAGATTTCTAAAAAATGTATTACAACATGAACTTTATCTTTATTTTTGTCTACAGATTTGACAAGATTTAAAATTTTTATTTACTTTTGAACAAATTTTTAAGTAGCCAGTACTCTATTCTTCAATGTATCACTCCAAAATTACAGATCCTGCATCCATTTTATATCAACATAAAACTTCAGGGTTTTATTTTTTAATAGTGTTTGTTTACAAAAATGGTCTCTAATTTTATTGTGGAAAAATACCTGCTGGAAGTCAATGGACCATTTTTCAAAAAACCTTAACAAATATCTGCTTTTTTAATTCAGATGCTCTTCATAAGTGTCATCGTAAACTTAAACCTGCACTGAAGAAGAAGTTCGAGTGTGTGTTTGAGGGGATCGCTAAAGCAGGAAACCCAACCCTTCTGAATCAGATCTACACAGAGCTCTACATCACAGAGGGAGGGACTGCAGAGGTCAATGATGAACATGAGGTCAGACAGATTGAAACAGCATCCAGGAAACCAGACAGACGAGAAACAACAATCAGACAAGAAGACATCTTTAAATTCCCACCTGGTAGAAAAGCACCAATCAGAACAGTGCTGACAAAGGGAGTGGCTGGCATTGGGAAAACAGTCCTAACACAGAAATACAGCCTGGACTGGGCTGAAGAGAAAGCCAACCAGGACATCCAGTTCATATTTCCATTCACTTTCAGAGAGCTGAATGTGCTGAAAGAGGAAAAGTTCAGCTTGGTGGGACTTGTTCATCACTTCTTTACAGAAACCAAAGAAGCAGGAATCTGCAGCTTTGAAGACTTCCAGGTTGTGTTCATCTTTGATGGTCTGGATGAGTGTCGAGTTCCTCTGGACTTCCACAAAACTACAATCCTAACTGACCCTAGAAAGTCCACCTCAGTGGATGTGCTGCTGATAAACCTCATCAGGGGGAAACTGCTTCCCTCTGCTCGCCTCTGGATAACCACACGACCTGCAGCAGCCAATCAGATCCCTCCTAAATGTGTTGGCATGGTGACAGAGGTTAGAGGGTTCACTGACTCACAGAAGGAGGAGTACTTCAGGAAGAGATTCAGAGATGAGGAGCAGGCCAGCAGGATCATCTCCCACATCAAGACATCACGAAGCCTCCACATCATGTGCCACATCCCAGTCTTCTGCTGGATCACTGCTACAGTTCTGGAGTGTGCCATGAAGAACAGAGAGAGTCAAGATCTACCGAAGAGCCTCACAGAGCTGTGCCTACGCCTTTTGCTGCTTTTCTTAAAAACAAAGGGCACCAAGTATGATGGAGGAGCTGAGACAGATCCACACTGGAGTCCAGAGAACAGGAAGATGATTGAGTCTCTGGGAAAACTGGCTTTTGATCAGCTGCAGAAAGGAAACCTGATCTTCTATGAATCAGACCTGACAGAGTGTGGCATCGATATCAGAGCAGCCTCAGTGTACTCAGGAGTGTTCACACAGATCTTTCAAGCAGATGAGTGTGAAATGTTCCAAGAAACAGTCCACTGCTTTGTCCATCTGAGTGTTCAGGAGTTTCTGGCTGCTCTTCATGTCCATCTGACCTTCATCAACTCTGGACTCAATCTGCTGGAAGAACAACAAACAACCTCCAAGAAGTCTGAAACAAGAGAATCTGCAGAGAAGCACTTCTACCAGAGTGCTGTGAACAAGGCTCTACAGAGTCCAAATGGACACCTGGACTTGTTCCTCCGCTTCCTCCTGGGTCTTTCACTGCAGACCAATCAGACTCTCCTACGAGGTCTGCTGACACAGACAGGAAGTAGCTCACAGACCGTTCAGGAAACAGTCCAGTACATCAAGGAGACGCTCGAAGATAAAGATGGTGAACTGTCTGCAGAGAAAAGCATCAATCTGTTCCACTGTCTGAATGAACTGAATGATCGTTCTCTGGAGGAGGAGATCCAAGAGTGCATGAGTTTAGAAAGTCTCCCCACAGATATACTGTCTCCTGCTCAGTGGTCAGCTCTGGTCTTCATCTTACTGTCATCAGAAAAAGATTTGGATGTGTTTGACCTGAAGAAATACTCTGCTTCAGAGGAGGCTCTTCTGAGGCTGCTGCCAGTGGTCAAAGCCTCCAACAAAGCTCTGTAAGTAAACATGAACTCATCGCTTCATTCTTAAAATCATGGGAAATAAATCAGAGGTGCTCAGTTCAAAGAACACTGCCTTTTAAGAAAAATTAAAAATAGTCACTTAGTCAAATATGATACTTTAAATATTTCACTCCAGCAGGACATGTCAGCATTTTTGAAATATTTTTGTCTTTAACTCTAATCAAAGCACAATCCAGATCCAGCCTATAAGAACATGAGCTCTGATCCTTCAGCCCCTCTGACAGGTTTATTATCCTCAAGTCGTTCACTTGTCTCCAACAACCAGGACTATAGCTCTGTTTTTTTAAAGGAAATACTTGAGTTACCAGACTCTACCTACATCTTTTTCAGATGTTCTTATTTTAAGGTCTGGTTTGTGTCTATCTTTATTGCAATCCCCAATGTCTCTTTTTTATCAAATATAAATCTGTTACCTCGGTGTGGCCAGAACAACATGGTGAGCCCAAAATACAGACAAAGGTGAAGGAACTGAATAATAGACGTGAAGGCTTTATTTACACACAGGAACTTGACACTTTGACTTTTTAACATGAACTGTGAACTATGGCGCAAGTCAGGTGAAGTGGGCTCTGTGGTAGGTTTTAGGAAATGGGTCTTGGTTCCAAAGATAGTGATCTGAGTCACTGTAACAGAGGTAGAGCAGCGTCAGAAAGATCACTGTTGGAGGTTATGGTAAGTGAACAAGGTTATCTTCAATGTCTTACTTTTCAGCAGCTGGAAAGCAACTTGGGGAAGGCAGGTAGTGAGGCCTGGGTGAGTACTTGTTAGCTTTGAATCCAGGCAAAGTGGTCCAGTAAGTCTAAGAGACGAAAGGCATTAATGTGGGTGTGAGTGAATCAAGAAGACCAGTATCCAGGAAAATGTGACTGAACTGCAAGGGTGAGTAGATGATCCAAGGATTAGGAGGTTAGCAGAGTTATTGAGAGTGCTGGTGTTATATTCAGCCTAGTAGATTACTGTCAGGTGTGGACAATGGACAGGCTGACCAGGCTTCACCCAAAGGCAGAAACCAGAGTCTAGTGTCTTTCCCTTCTCCAATTGGTGGGTTATGTAATTCTAGCCGAGGAAACCCGAGTATGAGTGGTTTGTGAGGTGCACGAAAAGCAAAAAAGGTAAGTGTTTTCTTGTGATTGTCAGGGGTGACAGGCTCTGTGCGGTGAGTTATGTGAGGGGACACTCGGTTATTTAATGACTTACTGGGAATGGGCGGATTAAGGGCGCATAGAGGGATGTTTAACTGTCTCGCTAACTCAGACTCCACGAGGTTCTGATTGAACAAGAGCCTGAAAGG